CCAAGGTCAAAAAGAGATACCACGTTTAACCTTAGTTCTGAAGTTTATTTCCTAATATTTTACATGTTTATTTTCCTATTTTCACTTCATGTAAATCAGGCGCATACTATTGGTTTCATTTGGGAACAAAAGAGGACATTGGGAAATATCATACGGGAACATCCATAAAAAGGGGAGTAGGTTTTAGGGGGCCAGAGTCGATAAAAGCTCCACTATGGACAGAGTATGGTAAGAATAACTCAAGTGCAAATTATTAGTCTATAATCCCCAAATTAACTATTCTTTGATTTCACCATGCAAAGAAACTCTAATAAATTCTTTCAACCTTGAGAGCCTTCGGGGCCTTACTAGTTCTGTTATGAAGAACTGAAATGGGATAAAACTGTGTTGTTTGAAGAAAAATGATTGTTGTGAATAAAGAAATATTGGTTATACAAATATAGGTAACTCCTTCAAAATACTGATTTTTCACAGGACATTCCTGGTGGTCACAGGAATTCCAGGTTAAGAATCTGCCTTGCCACAAAGGGGACTCAATCCTTGTTCAATCCTTGGTTGGGGATATAAGATCCCACATGCAGCAGAGCAACTTAGCCCAGGTACCGCAAAGGCAGAGCCGGCATCATCCAGAGCCCCCAGGCCATGATAAGAGGTCCTGCTTGATGCAAAACAGATCTTGTGATCCACAACTAAGACCCATTGGAGTCAAATAAATAAGTATTTTAAAAAATATACTCATTCTGCTTCCTTTGGGTATATAATCAGAAGTGAGGCTCTGAGATCCTGTGCATGTTCTTTTTTTTAATATTTGAGGATCCTCCATATTGTTTTCTATGGACTATTTACATTCCTACCAACCATTCACAAGAATTCCTGTTTATCTGAACTGTGCAGGTATGTGGCACATGCATGTGATTTGGAAAGACATGGAGAGAAACCCCTGCACTGGCAGCAAGAAATAGCAGGCGCATCATCTCCAGAATAAGCCTTTGTACTACAGATTGCTATGGAGCTGATGGTCCTCGGAGTCTACGAATAATCCTTCCCTTGTCTGTGAGCTAAGTCACTTCAGTCATGTCTGACGCTGCGACCCTATGGACTGTAGTCCACCAGACTCCTCTGCCCATGGACTAGGTTGCCATGCCCTCCTCCCAACTCAAGGATCAAACCGAGTTTCTTATGTCTCCTGCATTGGCAGGTGATTCTTTATCACTAGCACCACCTGGGGAGCCCGATCCTTCCTTACATAGTGAGATTTCACGGCCCCTCCCTAAAGAAATCCCTATGCCATTAAAGTTTAGCACCATTTTCCTTCTAGGTTGAAAGACCCTTATGAAATTTCATCTGGTTCAACACACTCTCCACACATTCAGTAATAATCCATCCATCGTGCTACGCAATCCCCGGAAAGATTCCAAGGTTTAACAACTCATGCATTTATGATGAAATAGTACACATGAAGGCGCGCAAGCAGCAGATTGGATTCAAGACAGCGTCTTATCAGTCACAGTGACCTCAGCCAGCCCAAAAGCTGTCATCTCCAAACTCTAATAATAACAAGCAGATGTGTAGGCTGATGCACATGCCCCAGTGAGACTTCAACATCTTCCAAAGATACACTCCAAGGTCTTTTTTCCCTTCCAAATGCACCGGAAACCTTCTTCATTACAATGAAAACCTATTTTCATTCTGAAAATAACAGAAAATACTAAAAGTAAGCAACAAAATCATCTCCGGGATTTTACCGACAGTTATTCTACAGGTTGCATAAGGATTCTTGCCCTTCCAAAAGACATCACAAAATCCACTCCATGGAGTCGATGCTGTGGGGAACCTTCTGGATCCCACCTCCAGGACCAATGCACCCATCCCTCCCTGTGGGCTCAGCTCAGGCCTTGATTCTAACACACTGCAGGGTAACAGTCCTCTTCCCAATTCCACTTTCTTCCTTCCTCCACAGGTGTGATCATGACTTTCCCAATCAACCAAAGCACGCAAAGCTCAGTCTCAGCATCTGTGTCCAGGGCAAGTGAGCTAGGACATTATGGCATGCCCACACTTCCAGGCAACCCACAATTAGCCATGAACCACATCCAGGTCCTCCAGTCAAAGCTGAGACCACTCTTGTCAGCAGTTCCACACAGTGTGATCCCACAACTGTTGCCGTGAAGAGCCAACTGTGATTCCAAGTTGGAACGGTTTCTTTGCCTTGCTTCTCACTGCTGTGGTTATTGTAATCATCCATAATGGCTGGCCTCAGAGGACCCTACCTCTTGGCCTGACTGTTCAACTAAAGTGCCTTTGTTGAGCTCACAGGGAGATACTCTGACCTCCCAACCTGTGAATGGTTGCAGGAAAGAAGAGATGAACACAGAAGGCTGGCTGTCCCTGAGATGTACTGCAAGACGGATGGCCCTTTTTACCTTACTTCCCCACTGCCTCTCCCTCTCCATCCTCCCTTCTGACTTGATTTCCTCACTGTTTCTTTCTCTACTTTCATAAAAGAATCTGGCATCCAGACACCAACAAGTTGGCTATTTTGAGATATTAGCTAGCCATCTTCTTGGTTGGCTGGTTTTCAAAATGAAGTCCCATTGTTTTCCTCAAGAAGTCGTCTCCCCGAAGCACTGGCCTCTCTCACAGGCAGCAGAGTGAGCTTGAACTGGGTCATACCACTATGCTTGCAACATGCATACACCATTCAGAGGGCTCATCCAGAGGCCGAAACTTGCCTCCTCTCACAACTCTCCTAGACCCCCGATAGCTTCCTCTCCACTTCTCCACATTTTGTCACCGCTTTTCTGTGCTCTGTTAACCAACAGGGCTAAACAGCAGAGACCACTGGGCCTGAGCATCACACAGAAACACACAAGCCGCAAATGCAAGGGCACTGGGTGCTCAGTATGGAGACCAAGAAACTGGTCCTCCTGGGAAAACATGCCGGGAACTGGGGATATCACAAAGTTTCAAAGGCCCTTGAGATTTGGGTCAATTGAGCTCAGTGAAGAAGTCATAGAGAAAGGCCCCCAATCTCACTGCCGCCTGTTGTCCCTGATTGAGCTAATTGGAAGATACCCCAGCTCTTTAAGGAAGAGGCGCCTCCCTCATAGCCCCTTAGATTCCAAAGGTTCTGGCCACTCTAACCACAGTAAAATCAGTATCCGCCACTCTGAGTAGATTACTATATGATCACTTGATGGTAATTAGGTAATTTACTTCTTGTTGAAAAACTGTAATATATTTTCTCTCATTTCTTTTTTGTCTGTTTCTGAAAGATCTGTCAGTTGTGGACATCAAAGCTCATTGTAAAATATAAAGTCTTAAGAAGACATTAGAATTGATTTTCACCAAAATTATCAACTTGGCACTATTTATAAATATTTCTGTGTGTATTATCTGTGTGAACTCAAGTCCTAAAGGAACTGTCTTTCTTTACATGTACAGGGCACCTACTATGTTCCCTGTCATTGTGTATGTGCATTTTAATGTTACAAAAGTCTCAAAATAACCCACTGACTTATGTATTTGTTAGTGAAAGGCAGGAAAGAAATGTAAATGAAACATTAAATCTGGGTCATAACATGTGGATAGAAAAATAATGCTAAGGAAAAACTATTGAGAAAAACAAAAGATAGAGGATGGCAGGATTTAAGAGATTAGCACTGAAACATATATATTACCATATGTAAAAGAGTCAGTAGGAGTTTGATGTATGAAAGAGTGCTCTGGGACAATCTGGAGGGATACGGTGGCAAGAGAGGTGGGCTCAGGAGGGAGGGGACATATGCATGCCTACGGCCTATTCCTGTTAATGTACAGCAAAAACCATCACAATATTGAAAAAAAAAATTAAAAAAAAATTAACTGATGGTGAGTTAGGCCTGAACACAGAATCAAAGCTTTCCCACACCTAACACATTTGTGTAGTTTTCCTCCAGGTTGAATTTTCTGATGGTCAAAAAGTTGGTATATTACACTGCATTCTCTACATGTGTAAGTTTTCACTGCAGTTTGGATTCTCAGATGATCTGCAGTGTCATTCCTTGTGACTGAAGGGTTTGCCCCATAGATAACATTTATGTGGTTTCTCTTCTGTATGAACTGCCTGCTGAACATGCACTAGAAACTGCCACATTCATTCCACTTGTATGTTTTCTATATAGCATGGATTCTCTGAATTATAAGACCTTTGTACCTTAAAGGTACAAAAACTAAAGGCTTTGTACCACTCACGACATTTGCACTAAAATGTTTCTTACAACTATCATATTTCTAATGTTTCTCTCTAGTGTGAATTCTCTGATGGTTTCTAAGTTCATCATTTCAAGTAAAGCACCAGCCATATACATCATATTTATATGGTTTCTCTCTTGTCTGAACTGCCTGATGATGAGTTATGGATGACGACTGTGCCTAAATGATTGTCACAATTTTTATATTTATAAGGTTCTCTCCAGTATGAATTCTCTGATAAACTGCAAGGTTTGGATTCACACTGCGAGTCCTGCCACATATACCTCATTTATATGGTTTCTCTCCCGTATGAACTCTCTGATGAATACCAAGGTTTCCAGTACAAACGAACGCCTTGCCACATACATCACATTTATATGGTTTCTCTCCAGTATGAACTCCCTGATGAACAGCAAGGCTTGATCTTACACTGAAAGCCTTGCCACATATACCACAATTATATAGTTTCTCTCCAGTATGATCTCTCTGATGAACAGCAAGGTTTCCAGTATGACTAAAAGCCTTGCCAAACACATCACATTTATAAGGTTTCACTCCAGTATGAATTCTCCAATGAAGTCCAAGTTTTGCAGTTTGATTAAAAGCCTTGCCACATACATCCCGTTTATATGGTTTCTCTCCAGTATGAATTCTCCAATGAATTCTTAGTTTTCTAGTTTGGTTAAAAGCCTTGCTACACACATCGCATTTATATGGTTTTCCTCCTGTATGGATTCTTTGATGTCCAGTGAGTTCTGAGTCCTGAAGAAAGGTTATGTCACACTCATTATATTTGTAAGGTCTTTTCTTTTGTGTTTCATGGTCTGGTAACAGTTCTGAAGGATGCAAAACAGCTTTTTCATGTTTATGAGAAAAGCCTTTGCAGACATTACGAGTTCTCTGAGGTGGTAAACCTGAGGCACGGACGTTTGTCACAACTTGACTACATTCAAAAATTATCCCTTCAGATTGTACCATCTGCAATTTATCCTGAAAGCTTGATCCGTGCCTTTCAAAAGGTCTATTTCCTGCATCAATTCTACTATGATGATTTCTTCCATCAGTGAGGTTTTTGTTATGGGATGTAGACATTCCTTTGTTATTTCTTTCATCATCTGCCCACAGACAATCAAAGTCATGTATATTTTCCTAGATCTTTCTGAGGTGAAAATCTTTGATTTCAAGGCTTTCAGCTCTTCTTACACCACTTCTGCAATGACACTCAAAGTCATACATGTCTTCCTGGATTTCCCTGAAGTAAAAATGTTTGATTTCATGACTTTTAGGTCTTCCCAAGATCGCTGTTTGGAATACTTCTCCTGTATCACTGTCTGCTTCGGTTTGTAATTGGTTGACCACGTGTATTGGATAGATATGTACATGACAGAAAGAATCCATTCACTAAAATTCATCAATAAGTGTCTCAGTATCTATTACACCAAAAGTAATACTTATATCACAGTTATAAAACTTTTTCCAACTATGTAATATTTTTCATTTTCAAAAAATTTTGAAACTTTCCAAATATGAACTTAAAATTCTGAGAAACACTAGAGCAATAAACTTGTTTACTAAAAATAACAGTTGTAAAAGATAATTCAAATTGATTTCAGGGAAGAATACTTGCAAACAGCCTATGACAAAAACACTAATACTAGAAAAACATGTCAGCTCACAAAAAAACCACAATTTTTCCACCATGACTTCAAAGCATGTACTAATTAACAGTAAACATACTGCAGTCTCATAATTGAGGAGAAAAATGTATTCTACTATAGATATATTCTGCATACTTATTGTACACAAATAAATGCTAATGAACACACAATAAATATACTGTAATGCTAAAAAATCCAAAATGAGTTTATCTAATAATATGTTGCTATTTACAAATTATAATATATATACCATAGAGAAAAAAATTCAATAGTACAGTTTTTTTATGAAACAAAATATCTTTCTAAATATGTCCTACAAAATGACACACCCATAATAGGCATTTTGCAACATTAACAAGTAAAAAAATAATTATAGAAATAATTAAAGACTTCAAAGAAATTATAAGATACAACATCAGCATGCAAACCCAATTGGGTTTCTAAACATTAAAAATGAACAATCAAAGTAATTCAATTGACAAGAAAATTAAAAAGAATACTTAATTATAACATTATACAAGAAGAGAAGAATGTTTATATTGCAAACTAAAGAGTTCTGAAAAATATGAGAGAAGAATCAAATAAATGTCAATACCCCATGCTTCACAGATATAAAGTTGATATTGTCAAGATGTCAATACTAGTCAAAGTTAACAAAAGATTCAAAACAATCCCTAGTGAAATCCGAACACTGCTTTGCTTAAGCAACAGATGAATCAATCCTACAATTCCTGTGGAATCACAGAAGACAATGAATAGCAAAAACAAACTGGAAAGCAAAGTCAGACATCTCACATTTCTTTATTTCAAAACTGATTCTAAAACTATACTAATCAAAGCAGTATGGTACTGATATAAAGACAGACACCTGGGGAACCCAACAGATTCAGAAAAATACTTCTGTCTGTTAGGTCACATGATGTTCCACAATAGTGTTAAGACCAAGTAATGGGGGAAGGGCAATCTATGGAACAAAAGGTGTTGTGAAAACTGGATATTCACATATAGAATTGAGCTGGAGCATTATTATACACTATAGACAAAAATTAACTCAAAATGCTTCAAAGACCTAAAACTCAGTCCCTAGTGTATAAGGCTCCTATAAGTAAATGAACAGAAAATGATTCTTGACAGTGGATTCACCAATGAATTTTTATGAAACAAAATATCTTTCTAAATATGTCCTACAAAATGACACACCCATAATAGGCATTTTGCAACATTAACAAGTAAAAAAATAATTATAGAAATAATTAAAGACTTCAAAGAAATTATAAGATACAACATCAGCATGCAAACCCAATTGGGTTTCTAAACATTAAAAATGAACAATCAAAGTAATTCAAAGTAATTCAATTGACAAGAAAATTAAAAAGAATACTTAATTATAACATTATACAAGAAGAGAAGAATGTTTACATTGCAAACTAAAGAGTTCTGAAAAATATGAGAGAAGAATCAAATAAATGTCAATACCCCATGCTTCACAGATATAAAGTTGATATTGTCAAGATGTCAATACTAGTCAAAGTTAACAAAAGATTCAAAACAATCCCTAGTGAAATCCGAACACTGCTTTGCTTAAGCAACAGATGAATCAATCCTACAATTCCTGTGGAATCACAGAAGACAATGAATAGCAAAAACAAACTGGAAAGCAAAGTCAGACATCTCACATTTCTTTATTTCAAAACTGATTCTAAAACTATACTAATCAAAGCAGTATGGTACTGATATAAAGACAGACACCTGGGGAACCCAACAGATTCAGAAAAATACTTCTGTCTGTTAGGTCACATGATGTTCCACAATAGTGTTAAGACCAAGTAATGGGGGAAGGGCAATCTATGGAACAAAAGGTGTTGTGAAAACTGGATATTCACATATAGAATTGAGCTGGAGCATTATTATACACTATAGACAAAAATTAACTCAAAATGCTTCAAAGACCTAAAACTCAGTCCCTAGTGTATAAGGCTCCTATAAGTAAATGAACAGAAAATGATTCTTGACAGTGGATTCACCAATGATTTATCAGATACAACACCAAAAGCTGATGCCAACAAAATAAAGAGATAAATTGCACACATCCTAATTATCAAACATTGTGCAGTAAACCATCCTCAGCAATGAAAAAACAAAGTACACTATAACACAAAAAAATTGCCAATCATATATCCAATAATAGTTTAACATCAAGAATACATAAATAACTCTAAAAAGTACTGATCACCAATTCCACCATAGGAGTGGGGGAACTTTCTCAACCAACCATTCCATGTATTGCAAATAAAATACAAAGAGTAACATAAAATAGAAACTTAATGATAAAAATAAGAGACAATCATTTATAATGCATAAAAATATAAAAAAAAGGAAAGTAGCAATGCCTTGAAAAAAATGATGGTTCATCACTGAAGTTATCAATCCACTACATAAGCTCTGTCATTAAGTTGCTACAAAATTAAGTGTGGAGGCAGAATGATCAATAGCACACAGGTGACAAGCATGCAGCATCAGTAATAGTTTAGTCAACAGCCTCACAAACATGAGGGTGTGAACCTGGACAATACCGTTTCTTAGGAGAAGTTCCTACACCTCTTGGGTGAGGCTCAAAGGGCATGGTGATAATATACATGGTGATAGTGAACAACACTATCACAGTGCCCTTCACACAGGTTTTTCTGACATCACTCAAAGCCAGAAAAAGATGTACAGGTCAAGGTCTTCAGATACTGTCTCATATCACAGAACACGCTGACCACTATACTAAGAAGCTTCAAGTGGTAATTCTGTATGCAGCAGGAAAATATTACAACCAATAAGGGAAAGTATTCTCCTTTAAAAATTTTCTCTTACCCAGTAAACCCACACCACAGAGAGTCCATGAGGAGCTGCCCCTTAAACACAGGCGGATTACCACAGCAAAGAAGCTGGACATGACTTCAGACACTAGAACCACACACTTCAAAATCAAATTTAAAAGGAAAAATTATACAAACTAAGGAGAAAGCAAAGTCAGGAAGAGTCTACACTCCCAGACTAGATAGACCAGTACAAGAGTGGAAGACTACAAGATGTGGGGGTCTCATATCATAAGACCTTGAGATGGGACTATTTGGTCCACCCAGAGATGTCAAGCTAAAAGCCTGAAAGATTCACACATTTTTCCTTTGTTGGACTGCTGCCCTCAGAGTTTTCCTAAGTGACAGTCACAGAAGATCCAATCCACCAGGCTACTCCACACACCCTGACATGGTATGGCAGCAAAAGGAGAACAGCAGAAATGGCTGAGGGACCTCAAGAAGCAGACAGGGACTGAGGCAGTTCCATACAGGTTCTGAGGGGCCAGATAAAATTAAACAGCAGCCAGTATTTTCCCATTTCCCGATTATATCTTCCAAATATGACAACTGTGATGAAAGCAGCACAGGATCAGGGGTTAGACGCTTGGGGCATCAGCTCTGATCTACATGGACTAAGAACAGAGTAGCCAATAGATCCAAGGCCACAAAGAGAGAAGAGGGGGCAAGACAACCCAGTAAGGCAGCCCACCTCATGCTCCTCAAACTCAAGCCACAACCAGCTTACAGCAGGGAGATGGCGAGGGTTATGGATCTTGATAAAAACCTTGCCTTTGTGTCTGATGGAGCTGCAGCACCACTGGAGGGTGAAAGAATACATGATACATGTTGAAGGACAAACTGATAACTCGGGGAAAAGTTAAGTTTCCTCTGAGAGTTTAATAAACAAACTTCTCTTTTACCAAAGATCTGAGAGAGTCAATTCATAGGTAGGTCTTACCAGTGGGTCTGGTAAGACCCTTACAACCTTGAGACATTCTTCTGACTTACTGTAATAACCAACTGAAAAAGTATATAGCTCCCTTGCTAAGACTAGTGAGGGGGGGCATTCTCCATCCCCCTTCTGATGTCTACGTCAAAAGCTTTCCCTGTCCCCTTTCATAAAAGCTCTTGAGTGATCAAGGCTGGTTCCTGGTCCCAAAGCTATATCTTCTTCAGAGATCACTAATCTGACATCATTCACTGTAAGCTATCACCTCTATGTACCATTACAAGAGGTTTCCAACCACTATTAATGTTGTGCTTCCTCTCTGCCCTGAGATCTCATCTCTGTTCACACTTTTGATACATTCCCATCCATTTGGGGGTTTTGTTTTGTTTGCTATTTTCACACCACTCATCACAGCACCAGGCTCCTTCTCTTGCTCCACTATGGAAATGACGTTTAGATCAGAAATAGAAAACCCTGCTTATCAGAACAGAGAAATGTAAAGTGCTGCGGTTTTTCCAAAATCACAGCTCTTTGTTCAGCTGAAGAGTGAGAATAGTACAGGTGGGTCTGGAAAAATATTCCATAAATTCTTGCACTGCCTCGCCTCCTTCTATATACACAGGGAAGAATGTAATATATGTATCTAACACCCTTCCAAGAAATAGTGAGTCAAAAGTAAAGGACAGAAAACTGGATATCGTTTAAAATTTGGCATTCAGAGTAGCCAATAGATCCAAGGCCACAAAGAGAGAAGAGGGGGCAAGACAACCCAGTAAGGCAGCCCACCTCATGCTCCTCAAACTCAAGCCACAACCAGCTTACAGCAGGGAGATGGCGAGGGTTATGGATCTTGATAAAAACCTTGCCTTTGTGTCTGATGGAGCTGCAGCACCACTGGAGGGTGAAAGAATACATGATACATGTTGAAGGACAAACTGATAACTCGGGGAAAAGTTAAGTTTCCTCTGAGAGTTTAATAAACAAACTTCTCTTTTACCAAAGATCTGAGAGAGTCAATTCATAGGTAGGTCTTACCAGTGGGTCTGGTAAGACCCTTACAACCTTGAGACATTCTTCTGACTTACTGTAATAACCAACTGAAAAAGTATATAGCTCCCTTGCTAAGACTAGTGAGGGGGGGCATTCTCCATCCCCCTTCTGATGTCTACGTCAAAAGCTTTCCCTGTCCCCTTTCATAAAAGCTCTTGAGTGATCAAGGCTGGTTCCTGGTCCCAAAGCTATATCTTCTTCAGAGATCACTAATCTGACATCATTCACTGTAAGCTATCACCTCTATGTACCATTACAAGAGGTTTCCAACCACTATTAATGTTGTGCTTCCTCTCTGCCCTGAGATCTCATCTCTGTTCACACTTTTGATACATTCCCATCCATTTGGGGGTTTTGTTTTGTTTGCTATTTTCACACCACTCATCACAGCACCAGGCTCCTTCTCTTGCTCCACTATGGAAATGACGTTTAGATCAGAAATAGAAAACCCTGCTTATCAGAACAGAGAAATGTAAAGTGCTGCGGTTTTTCCAAAATCACAGCTCTTTGTTCAGCTGAAGAGTGAGAATAGTACAGGTGGGTCTGGAAAAATATTCCATAAATTCTTGCACTGCCTCGCCTCCTTCTATATACACAGGGAAGAATGTAATATATGTATCTAACACCCTTCCAAGAAATAGTGAGTCAAAAGTAAAGGACAGAAAACTGGATATCGTTTAAAATTTGGCATTCAGTTTTATACATAATTAAGCTCTGGGAAAATCTCTGATGTAACATGAAGTGGGCAGATCATTGGAAGAAAGGGTCATTTTAAATTCGTGATGCCACATCATGTCTGTGTCAACAGGGCTCTAAGATCATGCAATGAAAACAGACCTCCCAAGAGACACACAGGGAAAAATGCAAAATACTCAAGGGGAGATTCCAACATCCAAAGAGAAGCTATCCTCACCCAGGGAGAGCAGGTTCTTCTAGGTCTCCAACATCATGTCCCTGTACAAGGCCCTCTGAACAGGGTCCAGGCATTTCCACTTCTCCTGAGAGAATTCAATCACCACACCCTTGAAGGTTAACCATCCCTGAAATGAGAATATATTTCACCAATGGATCATGAGAGAAGTTCTTACCTTCATAAAAAATGAAAAGATGATGACAGGGGTAAGGATTTATTCAGATATGTTCTGAAAGAGTTGTCTTAAGGTATTTGGAAGGCTTCCCTGGTGGCTCAGAAGGTAAAGAATCTACCTGCAGTACAGGAGACCTGGATTCAATCCCTGGGTCAGGAAGATCTGGAGAAGGGAATGGCTACCCATTCCAATATCCTTGCCTGAAGAATGCCATGGACAGAGGACCTCACGGGCTACAGTCCATGGGGTAACAAAGAGTTGAACACAACTAAGCAGAGAGACTAACACACACTGTGTCCCTTAAATTCTTATGCATTTTCATAAAAGATTTTTGTATCTTCCAACAAACATGTCTTTTTTACTTTTTGTAAAGAATGCATGAAAAATATCTAATAACAAAAGGTTGTCTTTGCAGAAGTGTCAGATACGATGTTCTACACACTGAGAGATATTCAATACCTAAATGAGTTACACTCTGAGTGGTGGCTTCAGAGATGACAAAGTCCAGCAATGGCTTTAAAGAAAAATCAAAATCAGCAATTATGATAATGACAGAAATAGCAATGACTGAAATTGTTTGAATACTTCAAGACAAGAAGCTAAGCAATGACACATATGGATCAAAGAAATCCAGAAAATTTTTGAACATCTACATGAAACTGAAAGTACAACATTCCAGGATTTAAAACATGCAGTGAAAGTTATAACAAAAGAGAAGTCTACATGGCTAAGAAACGTCTCAGGTGATTCAGTGGTAAACATCATGCTTGCCAATGCAGGAGACCCAGGAGATTTAGGTTTGATCCCTGGGTTGGGAAGATCCCTGGAGAAGGAAATGATGACTCACTTAAGTATTCTTTCTTGGGAAATTCCATGAACATAAGAGCTGGATGGGCTACAGTCTATGGGATGCAAAGAGTCAGACACGATAGAGCACACACATATGCACGTGGCTAAGTGGTTAGCACAAATAGGAAAAAGAAGTCCAACCAGGAAACTATTTTTACATCTCAAGGAAGGAGAAAGAGAACAAGCTAAATACAGTTTTGGCAGAACAAAAGAGTTAAAATAAGAAAGATTCAGATCCTGCACACCCACTTCTGGGCATTGATCTGAAGAAAACCATAATTCAAAACATTAGGTGCAGTGCACCCTTAATGTTCACTGCAGCACTATTTACAATAGGCAAGGCATGGAAACAATCTAAATGCCCAGCAACAGAGGAACGGATAAAGAAGTGGTACATATATACAAGAATATCAGTTGTGTCCGACCCTTTGCGATCCCATGGACCATAAAGTCCATGAAATTCTCCAGGCCAGAATACTGGAGTGGGTAGCCTTTCCCTTCTCCAGGGGGTCTTCCAAACCCAGGGATCAAACCCAGGTCTCTTGCTTTGCAGGCAGACTCTTTACCAACTGAGCTATCAAGGAAGCCCGAATGAAACATTAACTCCTGCATAAAAAAAGAAAGAAAGAAAGAAAGAAAGAATGCCATTTGCAGGTACATGCATGGAACTAGAGATTATCATGTTATGACAAACCTAGACAGCATACTGAAAAGCAGAGACATTACTTTGCCAACAAAGGTCCGTCTAGTCAAGGCTATGGTTTTTCCAGTGGTCATGTATGGATGTGAGAGTTGGACTATGAAGAAAGCTGAGTGCCA